GATATGTGATATTTTTTAAGAATTTTTAACTGTAACAGAAAAAATTAGATGTGACAGTTTTAAGAGATTTTAATTGTAAAAATCTAAAACTGAAAACTTAAATTGATAAAATAAACGAGACTTACAGATCACGTATAAGCAAGAAAGGAAATCACGTATAAAAAAAAAAAAACCAAACATAAGAGACATAAAGGGTATTAAAATAAATTAAACACAAAAAATAAGGAGTAAAATCAGAAAACCACTGTTCAAAGAACAGTAACTTTCCCACTTCCTTTAATAATATTGTATAACTAATCATTTTATATCACATCATTAAATAGATTTAAATGTTATAATATGAAAAAAAAACAATTAAAAAGTAACATGTCGATACGTGCGAATCATAAATCAATATGTCATGTTTTTGTCTTATTTTTTAAAATTTTCTCGACGCTTATAGATGAGGATGACCAATCTTATCTTTTTGCTCTTCTTGTTGTACATTCACGAAAAGACTATCCAAAGTTATTTATTTATTTAACCTTTTTGCTTGTATTTGTTTATTTAGCTTAAAATGTCAAAAGTATTTTGGCACTTACGTGTAGACTTCCACTTCAAACAAAGGGAAAATACTTTCGTTTAGCTTATCAACACGTATCCTCAAATTCAATGCTGAGATTGCCTTTAAAAAAGAAAAAAAAAGAAAAAAAAAAGAAAAAGAAAAAAAAAAAGGAAAAAAGGAGTTTAACCTTGAGTAGCCTAGAATATAGCAAGGCCCACCACCTTCCATGAGAGAATTCCATATCATTATGGGTTTCATCTTTGGATGAACATTATTGCTTCTAAAAGGAGAATCAAAAATTAATGATTGAAGTGTGTGTTTCTTTAACATGTATATGTAGAAGAATATATTATTGAATCTTAACATGGCGCTAAAAGAAAAAAGAGAAAAAAAAAAAACTAAAATAAAAGAAGCAAAGGAATATATGCTTAAAAAAGCTATTTACCTTTCCCTTTTAGGCGAAAAATCAAACCCTTATATTCTTGAACATGATTTACCATGGAAATTTCAAAATAAGGCATCCAAGGGGAGGGAACCCACAAAACTCAAAAAAAAAAAAAAAAAAAGAAAGAAAGAAAGAAAGTAGACCCACAAAAACAAAAACAAAAATGTTGATAAGAAAAGGTAGGGATAGCGTGTATTTCACAAATTAAATTTACGTGTCCCGAGAAAAATATATTGCTTTTATTTATCTTTTTAGGGAAAAAATTCATTGCTTTTCTCATATTGACAAATTGTGTTGTTAAACAAAAGGTCAATATTTGTCAATCTCTTTCTACACCTAGAATTATATGCCCTTAAACAAATGAAACGCGTTTACTTCATGATACCATTTTTGTATTCATTAAATTCCATTTCTCACTAGTTTTCACAGTAATAATCATGATAATAGTAACATGAATACAAATTATCAAAAAAAAAAAAAAAAAAAAACATGAATACAAAAAATTGACTCATTTATCTGAAAGTCTAATCTCCAAAGACCCAAAAATAATAATAATAATAATAATAATTTACACTGGTGGTCCCTCAACTATTAAGTAAGTTCCATCTTTTTTTTTTTAATTTTGACAAAACAATCCTTGAACTTAAAAAGTTGGCAATTTAAGTCATATCCGTTAAATTTCGTTAACCACACTGATTCTTGCATATGATCTACCTTTTCATTGAAAGTACCAAAATGGCCTTAACTAAAAAACACTCAAATAAAATAAAGCAAAATTTTTTTTTTTTTTTTTTGAAAAACCATATGAACAGAAATTGAATACCTTCCAAGGTCAAGGAGTTGCGATAGCAGCCTCGGCCATAGAGAAAGCACAGCTAAAATTAAACCTTGTTCTCTAAACACTGAAGAACCTGCAAATTCTTCAGCTACGCATTTCTCAGCAACAAAATGTTCTGCCCTATTACTCCATAACTAGCATTCACCACTCCCTCAGTAGCAAAAGCCTTTTGCAGCCATAAATCAAAACCCCACAAACCATTGCCACTGAAACAATCACACGCTTCAAAATTCCCTTCAAAAACTCAAAAGTTAAGTCCAAACTCCCATTTTCGCCGCTCAGAGTGTCGCCATTTTTGCCCATTGGTCTCAAGCGCTCTTTTGCAAAGTAAAAATCGTTTCTGTTGCTCAAAAAGCTCCTGAATTCGCTAGAATTATATGACACACAAAATGGACACTGATTATTTTCCAGTAAAATCCTAGTGGGCACTCTTATTCGGGTGTTGTAGTGGAGGAAACTTAGCGATTTCGAGCCATTGACGAACTTAGGCGGGCTGAGGATGGAAGAATCAAGCGCCATATCCATGAATTTTTAGCTGAATCCTATATTCTTAATGTGGGTTCTAGTCTTCTACACCCAAATGGAAAAACAGAAAAAAGAATTACTTGAAATTTCAAGTTAACATCTTCACTCAATAGTAGCGATGAGTGTTAGTTTATTAATTCATCCTATAAATTTAAGGATTTGTTCTTTTAGAGTTTAACTTCAGTATAATTTTTTAGTTATAATTTGAGTTGAACTTGTAACTTGAGTGTGTTTGGTTGTGTACATTTGAGTTATGGTTTGAGATAAAAATCTTTTTGAGTTTGTGTTTGAGTGAGTTAAAACTTGAATTTGTATTTAGATAGTATTTTAATAAAAACTCAATGCTGATAAAAATTTTAATATGGCATATGGGTCGGGTTTTATTCGTCTTTTCGTTGTCAACGCATAGAAAAAAAAATCATCTCAATCAGAATTAAAACGAAAAAATTATAACATTTTTAAGAATAAAAAAAATACTATTCATTAATTTGAGTTCGAGTTTCTGAATTCGAGTTGAAGGGGAAACTTGAGGCTTGTTCTTTTGAGTGAAAAACTACAAAAAAACAACTCAAGTTATAACTTTATTCGAGTTTATGTTCTTTTAAGTTTAAACTCGAGTTCAAACTTGAATTTATGACTAAAACTCGAGTTCAAGTTTCTCCTTCAACTCGAGTTCAGAAACTCGAACTCAAATTAATGAACAGTATTTTTTATATTCTTAAAAATGCTATAACTTTTTCGTTTTAATTCTGATTGAGATGATTTTTTTTTCTATGCGTTGACAACGAAAAGAAGAATAAAACCTTACCCATATACCTTATTAAAATTTTTCATCAGCATTGAGTTTTTATTAAAATACTATATAAATACAAATTCAAGTTTTGACTCACTCAAACACAAACTCAAAAAGATTCTTATCTCAAATCATAACTCAAATGTATACAACCAAACACAAACTCAAGTTACAAGTTAAACTTAAGTTATAACTCAAGAATTATACTCAAGTTAAACTCCAAAAGAACAAGCCCTTGAACTCGAGTTTTAGTCCTAAACTCGAGTTTGAACTCGAGTTTAAACTCGAGTTTAAACTTAAAAGAACATGAACTCGAATAAAGTTGTTATTCGAGTTGCATTTTTTTAAGTTTTTCACTCAAAAGAACAAGCCCTAAGTTATTAGGAGGTGAGTAAATAATAATTTTATACTTTAACATTCCTCAACACGTGATGACAATTTAAATGGGGATAAATAATGTAATTATGAGAGTTTGAACTCAGGACATCCCGCTCTGATATCATGTTAGTTTACCAATCCATCCTAAAAGCTTAAGCTATTAGGAGATGGGCCAACAATAATTTTATACTTTAACAATGAGAAAATTGGGAGGCTACTCAGACATCGTGCAAACCAGATCGAAACAACAACCAAAGAACTAAATTTGGGTTTCCTTGCTCAATTGAACATCGCCCGAGCTCCAATCCACATTTTTTTTTATTGAAAAGCTTTCTATTGAAAGCTGAAACCAAAGAACTAAGAACATATGAGGAACTCAGGGATGGCGGTGGAGGAGCTCACGCTGGTAAGGGGTAGAGGGGTTCGCGTCACCTGTGCAGCAGGGAGATCATGAGGCTGGGTAGAAGAAGATCATGTCGCTATTGGTGAAGGTTGGGTTCGCGTTTCAGTTAGAGGAAGGTGAGGCCCGTGTCGCCATTGTAGGGAGGACGATTGGGTTTTCCTTTTCGTTGAGAGGATGAGGTGGGGGCCGGATCATCCATTGTCGTCGTTAAGGCTAGGTCCGATGTTGGCGTTGAAGCTTTTCGGCTCAGGGCTCAAGAAATTTTGGTGTGTGATTCAAACTTCAAACCTCCAGGTTTGAAGTTTGAATCACACACCAAAATTATAGTAATCTCTTTTCTTTAATGTAGTTTTTGGGTGTTTTTTCAATTGATGTTTTATTAAGTTTGGATATTTCAGTCATTTTAGTGAAAAAGATGTTCACATGATGGGTCATGTGCATATTTATGTTAAAAATTTAACAGATGCTCCCGGAAAGGATTTAATGACACCAATTTAATGACGTTATAGATTATTTCACTAAAATTTAAAAAATAAAAATTAAACTGTCATATATTAAAGAGGTCATGGAGTATCTGTGCCAATTAAAAAAATTGCATTTGAATTCCCGGAACAAAAATTGCATTTGAATTCCCCGGAACTGAAAAGGACAAGGAACAAGTCCAAGGGCAGGTTCGTCATTTCACTAATGCCCGGCAAAGGGAAGAATCTATAACAGAGCGGTGATACGGTTTCCGGAAACAAAAATAGGAAATTCCGCGTTATTGGGGCCCCAGTACGACACAATTTTGAACTATATTATACTACAGAATCAAAATGGTAACAGAATTTGGGATGAAATGAACGGTTAAAAATCTGTCATACCAATATGGCCTTTACTGTAGACCTTATTAAAGAATTGTACAACAAATTTTAAAAAATCACAGCTCACAAAAACGCGCCACGTTGCCTCACGTGGTTCTTCTCTATCCCCCCTCTTTTTAGTCCAAAACTTTTTTGCTTCCCCACCAAAAAAGAAGCTCCCACGAATCTCTCTTTTTTCCCCTCCTCCTCCTTCTCCTAATTTTTCTTATTCATTTATTAATTTTATTATATTTACCGATAAATTATTCTTCGTTCTTTCCGTTCCAACGAAAAACAGAATTGTGACAGCGATTCGTCCCGGCTATAAATACCTCCCTCCCTCGCATATATTTATTCGTAATCCCGTTGCGATCCGAAAATCAAGTTCAAGTCTCAAGAGAAAATTGCTCGCTGAACTGGTATTGGAATTTGCTCGTCAAGGTTCGTTAATGGCGAAAAGCGTTCTGGTCACCGGCGGAGCCGGTTACATCGGCAGCCACACCGTGCTCCAGCTCCTCCTCGGCGGTTTCAAGGCCGTCGTCGTCGACAATCTCGACAACGCCTCCGAACCCTCCATTCACCGCGTCAAAGAACTCGCCGCTGATTTCGGCCATAACCTTTCCTTTCACAAGGTTCGTTTCTTCCTTTCTTCGATAAATTATACGTTTTTTCGAATAGTTGGTGAAGAATTCGTGCTTTTTTGTTGACTAATTCTACGCTTGTTTTGGTTTTTGTGTTGTTTAACCATTCGTTTATCTGTCAAGTCACATGGTCCGTTTTTCCGGTTCTTTCTTTTTGTTTCCTTTTCCTTTATTTAATTCTTTTGTTCTGTTATTATTCATGGAGTTTTTGTGTTAATGTGCGACCAATTCGTGTGGCGGCTTTATTTATTTTTGCAGAATTTATGTTTGTTTTAATTTCGATGTTACGATTTATTCTCGGCGACTTCTATATTGTTTAACCACTCATTAATATGTCAATTTATAGTTTTGCAATTTGGCAGCCAATTCCTGAACCTTTTTGTTGTTGCTAATTTTATTTTATTTTTCTTAATTTTAATGTTATAAATTTCCCTCTCGGTGAGTTTTGTACTTTCGTTTTGTTTAATTTAATATTCGTTGATTTTTTTTAATCTAAATTTCGTACTTTGGTTTCCGTAAAATTCCTCTTTTTTGAACTTTTCGATGAATACGTTCTTAATTCGTCTTATTCGATTTTCTCTTAACGCCCCAAGTCCGTGACAGCTGAGCTGTTCATGTGAGAATGCTGACAAATGTTGTTGAAAAACCTGATAAAAATTGTGACGAAAATTAAATGCAATAACGAAAGTGTCATATTTTGCCCCTTGAGAAAATACAAATTATATTTTTCAAGCGTGGGAATGAAATTTTCTTTTTTCTTTTTCTTTAAGGAAAAATGGGATTGTTTATTCCACCGTAGTATTCATATAATTTGTTGTTTTCCCTTTTTTTTATTTTCCCCGAGTTTGGCTGTTTTTATTGTGAAAAAGGAAAATGAATAATATACAGCTGCTAAGTTTTACTATTTTAAGATTGTTGTTCTGTCTTCATCATTATTGGATTCTAGGACGAATCCAACCTGTTTCTTATAACCTTTGTTTCTCACCGACAGGTAGACCTCCGCGACAAACCGGCGCTTGAGAAAATCTTCTCTGAAACACAGTAAGAATCTTCTTAGAGAAAACCTTTCTTGTAAAACATTGTATAGTGTGTGAAATGTTTTTTAAGTCTTGCACTCGTTTACCATTCTCTTGTGTGCCCTGCAGATTTGATGCGGTCATACACTTTGCTGGACTGAAAGCAGTGGCTGAAAGTGTTCAGAAACCACTAACGTACTATAACAACAATTTGATTGGAACAATTACTCTGTTGGAAATCATGGCTGCACATGGATGCAAAAAGGTACCATTTATCTTTAGTCTATCTGTAAAGTTGAAGTGCTGTTCCATTTACTGCTAATCACCATTAATTATGTCTTTCGCCACTCTAGTTGTATTTGTAACATGGTTCTTGTTTTAAAATTGCAAATAAGTTTCAGTTTCACAAGGTTCTCCGTGAAAACTTTCTTGTTTTGACTTTTGCCTTCTCTCCCAAGGTTCATGGGAAAAGAACCAAAATGTAAGCTAAGCCTTAATGTCTATCACAACCCGGTAGTAACTTTATCTCTTTCAGCTAATTAGGAAACTAAAGGGTTGCGTTGGTAGGATTTGGGAGCATTTGTTGTGGATTCTGTAATTTCTGTCTAAGGCCTAGGCTCTTACTGAACTATCCACCTGTGTTGCTTAGCTTTTGTCAACCTATTTCATCGCCTTTTTTAATTTTTTTAGCATTAAACTTAGGTCCTAGTACATATGGGATTGAGCTTTCCTCCGAGCCTGTCATAGTACGGGAGCCTCTTTGGCACTGGGGTCCGCCTTTTAAACTTAGGTCCTAAAACCTCCCCATCCAAATCCACACCCTTTACAAACTAGAGCCAAAATCCTGCTTATGGCCTTGTCCATTTGTAATGATGCGTAAGCAGTTGTAACCCTGATTTCTTTTTTAAATAATGGAGTGAGATTTTTGCATCATGGAAGCTGAGATCCAATATGCCTTCTTGTTCGAAAGAAAACATTGTTAATGAGAGAAAGTTGTTAAGCTCTCTGATGGAAGCAAGAGTGGCTTGAATGAATCCCTCGAAAAGTGTTGATAGCTCACAATTGCTTGAGTGGTTTAGAATGCAAATTAACTTTTCATTTGCTTCTTTTTTGTAGCTTTTTTACATTATTTGTTTTTCCCAACGGCCTGTGGCAGTCCCTAGAATTTGCTACTATGCTTTGCTTAAATAATTGATTAATGAACAGTAGCTTCGTGACTAACCTGGCCCTAATTTTGTAAATATTGCCTGAGTGAAGAAACAATCTATATAAGCTTTGTATATTGATGTCACTGCTCAAGCCTGTTAAGATTTTTTCTAAAGATAAAATTTAACAAGCGGAGAAATTGTTTGCATTCTCTTTAATTTTACAGTTGGGAATCTCATTTTCAAGTTCTGAGCTCCTCTGAGATAGTCTTAGTTCTTTACTTGTCTCGCTAAGTTTCATGCAAAAGGTGCAATCATCTTTTATTTGATTGGATTTAGTTGAATGACTGATTTCAAAAACTTGATTTCAGCTTGTCTTCTCGTCATCAGCTACTGTCTATGGTTGCCCAAAGGAAGTTCCTTGTACAGAAGAGTCCGCCCTCCAAGCAGTCAATCCGTATGGACGTACTAAGGTTAGTTCAACCTTAATTAGATTCCTCTAATTTGGCTCAGTAACAATGCCTGATTGAGATTTGAGCATTCATGAAAGTTTCACTTTTGTGGCTGTAGTTATGTACGTCTTCTGAAATGTGAATTGTCTGTATTTTGCAGCTTGTTTAATAGAATTCTCTATTCATGTTTTTTTAATAATAAAAAAAGAGACAAAATTATTGTTCAAGTTATATTCTTCCTTGGAATTTAATGATAACATATAGTATGGTGCATTTTCAGCTTTTTATTGAAGAAATCTGCCGTGACATTTACCAGTCAGACCCAGAATGGAAAATTATATTGCTCCGATACTTCAATCCTGTTGGAGCACACCCTAGTGGATATATTGGGGAGGACCCTCGTGGAATTCCAAACAATCTGATGCCATTTGTGCAACAAGTTGCTGTTGGCAGGCGTCCAGCCTTGACAGTGTTTGGAAATGATTACTCTACAAAAGACGGAACTGGGGTAGGTATCTAGTGATGCCTTGCTGCTTTTATTAATTTTTTCTGGGGTGGGTATCTAGTTGCTTTTATTAATTTAATAAACCTAGTAAGCTCAGTTTTTAAGTATGCCAGTTGTTGCAAACATTTGTTGACAAACATTTGTTAACAAGACTCCTTAGTACCAGGTGGCAATGTCCAGATCAATTGTACAGCCTTAATTTGGATGTTCAAAAGGGTAGAAGTGTCATTCTAATTTGTTGACACATGTAGATTTCCAGATTTGTAATTTTCCAGTTCGTAAGCTGAAAAACAGTTTATGCTAATTACTTTATTGCATTTTCCCATCACTAGCTTGGACTTTTTGTTTTTTTAAACATGTCGCGTCTAATACGTATTTTAAACTTCTATACTTTATGGATAATGGAGAACTCTTGATTATGCGTTTTGACCAGTCACATATATCAGTAGAAGAGCATGTTCAATACTAACAATGCTAATATGTTCAGGTTCGTGACTACATTCATGTGGTTGATTTAGCTGATGGACACATTGCTGCATTGCAGAAACTTGAAGATGCTAAGATAGGTAAGTATTTGTACTTTTCATGTCCTTTACCGCTTATTAAATATCTTTAATGTGTTAGCTTGCCCCAATATGTTTGTGGTACCATTCTGCACCCATAGTGATGGTACTTGCACATTTGTTCTGGTGTGGAACCTTTTGTCCAAGTTTCTTGCTCATAATGATCATACAAGTGATAGTTTCTCTTGCTTAAAGGGAAGCCATCTATTGACAACACGAGCTTTTTTCTGTGATCTTTGGGTGTTGATATATTCAAGTTAAATTTGATTTTAGCATGGTTCAGTATAAAATTCACACTTTTTATTTCCCCCGTGCTACGCAGCATCTAATATATTTTGCTATTGTATTTAGGATAGTCATTTGCAAATTTTTGTTAATCGGTTTTTTTTTTCTTTTTTTTTTTTTTATTTTGGGTATTCATTTTGAAATTTTTTTTTATTGGTTTTTTTTTTTTTTTTTTTTTTTTTTTTTTTTGTGATTTTTTGTTTTTTGTTCACCTTCGATTCATTAGCATAGTAGCTGGCAAAAGTACTTGAAGTCGGTATCAGATAGTCATTATGTATGTGTAGTTCATCAGTTTTAACGTTGAATGTATATTGCCAGGTTGCGAGGTGTACAACTTGGGAACTGGAAAAGGAACATCGGTGTTGGAGATGGTTGCAGCATTTGAAAAGGCTTATGGAAAGGTTATATCTTTTTCTTCCTTTCTTAAGCTCGAAGTGTACTTCTTTACCACTGTTAGTGTTGATTAATTTGATTCTTGAAGTACACCATTTAGTTCCTCGAACGTGCTAAGTTTATTTGCCTTGCTCTTTGTTTGGACTGGATTTTAGATGTTAGTCCAGAAATAGATCCTGTATGTTAATGATGCTTATTGGAAATTTAGGAGTTGTCTTTATATTTGAGGTGTCTAGATAAATTCTCTTCCCTACTGACACAGCGGTAGTTAAAGCCTATATCAGTTAGATGGGATCTCAAATAGCCCCAATGTTATCCTGAATTAACTGGAACAAATTTCTCCATCACTTTCTCACTTTCAAATTGCCAAGATTAGGTTATTTAACTTCTTAACTGGAGGGCTTGTTTAGTTTTTTGTCCTTACATCTAATGCTTTATGTGTTAGACGAACTCTGTTATCAACCTGAGCTAATAAGTTGACAATTAACTTCACCAGAAAATTCCTCTAGTGATAGCTGGGCGAAGACCTGGTGATGTCGAAATTCTCTTTGCATCAACAGAGAAGGCAGAAAGGGAATTGAACTGGAAGTAAGTGCTACTTTACTCCAAAATCAGTAATCATCTTCTTCCTCTTGGTTGACTTGTGTGTTCTAGGAACAAATTTCAAAATGCTTTAAAGCCATGAAACTTTGTGATGGTCTTACAAGCGCGATTTTTCTTGCAGGGCAAGATACGGCATCGATGAGATGTGCCAGGATCAATGGAAGTGGGCTAGCAAAAACCCCTACGGTTATGGATCTCTGGACTCGGACAACTGAAAGCTGATACTTGTAACAATATATGCATTTAACTTTCGGTAACCTCTGGACTCGGACAACTGAAAGCTGATACTTGTAACAATGTATGCATTTAACTTTCGGTTCAAGTTAGTAGTGGTCATTCGTCGCCCGCGGTGTCTAGCTTTGGCCATTGTATGAATATTAGTAATAACCCTCAGCTTTTGTTGGCATACCTTCAAGCTGATAACCATTGAGGTGTAACCATTATAGATTAATTTATAGTAAATGAAAAGGGTCCATTTCTTTTGATCTAGTTTGAAGTCCATTTCTATGTGATTAACGTTAGATTGGCAGCAGATGTGAAATTTTACAGAAAGTCCATGTAGATTTTGTGGAGAACTTCTGTAAATAATTAATTACTCTTTATACAACATTTATAACTTAATAAAAGAGAATATTCTTTTTTTTTTTTTTGGTGTCTTTGATGGTCCGTTTTTTCCTGATTATTCTACACCTTACACGGGTTCTACTGCACGCGGCTATCACGTGATGTACAGAGACCAGATTTATGGCATGGTTGAAAAAAGAAAAGCTTCATTGAATAGTTGCTCTTATTTGTTATTTTTGTTATTCTTGATCCAACCAGTGTTCCTTGGGAGTTGGGTCTTTTGAGGATCGGTTGCTATCTGCATCAAATAAGAACCCAACAAAAGTAGAAATAGTGCAGTCGTTAGTATTTGAACTTCTGTTGGTTTGGGGCATGGGCCCTTGCCGTGCCTGAAGGGGAACCCAATTCATGTGCAGGTTTACTTTTGGAAGCGAATGGTTCAAAATGGTTCGAGAAAATTGGTGAATTAATGCATTGTTTTATCTTTTATTTTTTATTAATACTTATATAACTAATATGGTTATTTGACAGGGTAAGTGTAAAAAGGTAAAAATTTAAGACTCATGCATTCTAAGAACATGTTCATTTTGTGGGTTTGGTTTGAACCAACCTAATTTTAATCAGCCCAATGGCCCAAATCAACGTTCGTTACTCAGAGTTAGAACCCTAACTCGAATCCGGATACGAGTTGAGTTGCTGAGATTGGAATTCAATGTAGGCGTGAATTTCATTAATTCGAACATGCCTCTACAATAAAATATTAACTCTGCACAACTCAGGCAAAAGCCTGTCGAATTCCCTCGCGCCTTACCGTTGTTTTGTTTTTTTCTTTCCTCTTTCCACCAAAAGCTCTCTCCTCTCTGTTGTTTCCCATCATCCACAGCGATGGAAAATTGCAGATAAAGCTCTCTCTTCTAGCGTGGTGAAGTTCCATCTCATATTTGTTTATGCATGAGGGTAGAACTTTTTCCGCTGCTTTCTTCGCTTTCCCCAAAATGGAGGAACTATCTGGAAAAATCCGCGATCGGCGTCCTCCGTTGCCGGTTGTTTTGAGCAGATGTGTCCGTAACTGGCGACCTTAAACCCTAAATCGCCGTCATCGATGGAGAATTTCAAGGTACCGCTGTTGGCGACGGAGAAGTTGGGGTATTCCATCCTCATCACGATTGGGGTTCTTGTTGGAGGAGCACACACGTTCATCCACTGTGGGTCCAATTCGGTAAATTTTCTCTGCTTTTCCTTTCTTCGTTTCTCTTTGCCTCCGTGAATTAATCATCTGATGGGCCTAGAAATCACTCTACCGTTGGTGTATAGTTTGACTAAAGCTCTCTGCAATGTGAAAAAAAAACTGATTCATGAATTTTTTGTGCACTATGGGTTTATAGATGTTGGATTTGAGCTTAGATATAGCTTAGATATGGATTTGAGATTCATGAATGGTAGATCAGAAAAATTGTTCGTGGATGTGAAAAGATCATTAACCTCAATCTTCTGCAGTGACCGCGGTTGTTTTCACATTTGTGCTTTCATCATGCAATTTTTCTACTTTCTAGATTTTCCTTGTGTGTAGCCATCGGTGTTGTGCCTAGATTATAAATAAAGTATGCAAAATACACCTAAGTCTCTAATCAACTTATAAGTACAAAAAATTAATCAACCCAGGTAGGCGAACACATAAATCTTAGACACTAATGCCTCCTGTATACCGAGAAAAAAATAGACTAACAAACATGAGTTTTGGTTAAACATAAGCATAAAACATGTTAAACATACATTTCACTTACCACAAAAATAGAACCACAATATTCAGGTCTTTGATGAGCCTTGGTTACTAAGGCCATTTTCTTTCAAGCCTGTTACACACCATGAGCATTCGTTAAGTGATGATTATTTGAATCAAATAAGTCTCTCAATCCACTGCTTTCAGCAATTCCACCATGTACCTACAACATTTAAGCATGACCTCAAAGAGAATACACATATCAAAATCTTCTTTTCTTTTTTTAACAAATGATAGTATGATACTCAAAACTCTATAAGGGCCTCCGATAGAATTATTGATTCAGCCTACCAGAAAATTCCTTCAAGCTTAGGAGAAAAAGAATTACCTTGTGATAGATGGTACAAACATTAAGATGGCAACAACCTCTGCACATGCCTGGACTCTAAAACAGAAAGTCAACAAATAATAAATAAATGAAATATCCAGTGGAATTTACAGAACCGCTTTCTGCTAAAAACACACGTACCTGTAACATTGGTGGAAGTACTTGTGTTGTCAATGCCTTGAGAATATTAGGTGCAAGTTCATTTCGAGGCATGATTAGTCCAGTTAGGTTAGATCTTCAGACCACAATTCCCTTTAAACATAATAAATAGACTTTGGATACACCTCAAAACTTTGATAGAATTAGAAACACACTCTGTTATACACTACATGCGCTTGTTCTGACTGGAGATAGTATAGAAGACCAGAATCGATATGCTTTTGGTACCTAAAGACAGGCATACACAAACCAAATGAATGATGTTTTCTTAAATTTATCCTAATTAGACATTTGATAACCATGTGAAAACAAACGAATGATGTAGCCTATTCAGACCTCTCAGACATCAAAAGTGTATATAAGATTACTTGGGAACTGCTATTAATGAAAGCATATTAATATATTAGAAGTAAGTGTACAATACTTACTTTGCTCGGTTGTTCTTGTTTTGGAAGTAAGTGTACAATACTTGTAGGCTTATGTGATTATTTCTCATTTTAAATGGCCATTTCATGTTTCTGATGCACTTTTTGTCTCCCATTTATATAAATATACTACACCCAATACTTGGATGAGAAGATGTGATGTTTGTTCATCTTGGCCAGATTATTGGCAATGATGATTCATTTTTTCTATGCATATCAGTTTCGTTGTAGCGCTATCCTTTTGGTATTTAGGCATTTATAAGTTGCTACTTCATTTATGCGGGTTATGATGGATTGAACCATGATGTGGTGTCCTTTTATGGGGCATTAAGAGTTCTGTACTATGATCCCTTACCTGTTAGAATGAGACCTGGTAGCATAACTGCCATGCCATAAGGGTAGTGCTCCGAAACTAAGATGATGCTTTTATACGAATTTCTGAGCCAAATGAGTTAACATGTTTTGCTTTAATCATCCATTCTTCTTTGTCATGGCATATGTCTCTTTCTTGTCGTGGGTGGTGGTCTTGATGTTATGTATTAGATGTCGCGACGGAATGAAGATGACATGACTTTCTATTGGTATGAGAAACAAAAACATGCACTGTTAATCCGCCCTTGCGGATTACAATAAAAACAACAACGGCCGTCAACCTGAGGCAACAGATTGGGAGCAATGGGCCAGCGAATTATCCCATCTATTTTCCACTCATATTCCTCCAGGCCGAGTGAAAGAGGCCAAGGAAAGACTGAAAAAGAAATTCAATGTTGAGCTTGCCTTTCGCACAAACACCGGTCTCGGATGAGATGCCGTAAAAAATTGCCCAACATGTACGGAGGAATATTGGAATGACTTCTGCGAGGTTAGTAATTTTCTTATGTACTTTGGCATATTTAGTTTCCTAATAGAAGTATGTAGCTATTTCTCACTTCTAAGTTGCTTTTTTAATAGTCGCACAAATGGGCAAAGTGTGCACACAAAGACCCACTAAAAATTAGGAGCTCTATTACGAGGCCTTTGCGAGTAGGCGGGCACGTGGTGCAGTCGAATCACAAATGGAGGATACTAATGAGAAAAATGACACCTCCCAGCCACACGTGGGGGAGGATAATATGGTTGGCGGAACCTCTCAAACATCAAAGACTGAGGAAGGTTTTGTTAGTCTTGATGCTAGAAAAATCGCATGGTACGGATTCGGCCCATATCCCACAACACGACCCAAGGTATGGTACGTAGACCCAAGCCATGCTTCGGGGACTTCTACGTGGACCGTGGTTTGGTAGGCCAAGGAATGTAAACGGGCCAATTTTATCCAGTCCAATTAGACCCTCGGCTCACTTGGGAGGCCTTAGGTCGATGAGGAATTTAGGATAATGTGGGTTATGAAGGAAATTAGACAGAGTAAAGCAAATTATCCAAGCTTACAGTTACCACCTTTACAGTTCCAAACCTTTTATGAATAGTCTAGAAAAAGTCTATTGGTCCATTACCTTGCACTAAAAGACAAAATGGCATTTTTTCCCGTATCTTTCCTTTTTTTTCTCTCATTTCTCTTTCCCTCCAGGAGGTCAAACGGGGCCTCTTCTCCAAAATCATAAAAAAGGCAGGTAAGCACAAGTGAGGAAGGGCAAACTCTTAACCCTTTAGCTGCCTCCTCTGGCCTCACCCGAAATAACCAAGAGAGCTCCCATTGGCTGCTCAGCAGCCCATCCCTTCATCTTCTTGGCAAGCTTTTGCCTGTAGTAGGTGAAAGTCATTACTTAACCATTATGAGAACATCTCATTGACTACTCCAAGACCCCATGTATTCACTTTCTGAACAAGACACCCTTTGTAAACCAATAAAGCTCCGTTAAAAACCAGCCAAAAACGTCCGACCGACGTAGCTGTAATCAGCAATCTAAGCTAGGAATTTAAACACTATTGGAGGGAAATTTCCCTCTTCTTGGAGTCCCCATCCTTGCCTATGAAGCCATGCATAGCTCTCTAACTTAAGAGAAACTCTTCTCTTCTCATGGTTTTCGGCGGAGCTCCTCCGAGCAAGTAATGCTCGGGCGTTCTTCCCTAAGCTAAACACACACCAAAACCCAACATCAACAACCTAAATAAAAGCCTAAAACCTCCTCTTTTTTGTTGGTTACAACTCTTGGTTTTTCACTTACCGAAATACTCCTCAGAGAGCTCTAATCTTCATAACTTCCGGCGGAGTTCTTCTAGAACGTGTTTCTAGGCG